CAAGGAATCAGAGATCAGGGCACCTCTTGGAGTAATAAGAAACAATGGTCACAAACTGACAGCAGATTTAGGCTACGTATCAGGAAAAACTTCTTCACGGTAAGGGTGGCCAGAATTTGGAATGGGGTCCCAAGGGAGGCGTTGCTCTCCCCTACCTTGGGGGTCTTCAAGAGAAGGTTAGACCGGCATCTGGCTGGGGTCATCTGAACCCAGCACTCTTTCCTGCCCGGGGCAGGGGGTCGGGCTCGATGATCTGTTGAGGTCTCTTCCAACCCTAGCAGCTGTGAATATATGAATCTATGAAACTCCCTACTTGAGACTGCCTGGAAAATCTCAGGCAAAGGCTGTAAATGTGGTGCCCTTTCCTTGAGCTGAGCCAGGCGAGATCCAGGTTTGCATGCCAGCTAGGTGTCTGCAGCCCCAGTTAGAAAACCATGAGCTCTTAAATGCTGCAGCTGGTTGAAAAACAGGGAGAACATTTTTTCAGACATTTTCCTTTGTAGTTTGGTTATCTGGAATAAATAGACAAAAGGACAACAGACAAATTCAGAAATCAACAGTCTTTTTTTTCCCCCCTTCTATTATATTCTCACGGTCTCTCCCTAAGCTTCATTTTCAGCCAAGCCCAAGATGAATCTGAAGGGCTTCGGTGATACTTTAGCTAGGGGGTTGTTGTTCATTTATATATGACTGATGCACTATGAATTAAAAGTGCTTATAAAAGGAGGGATTTTGAAAAAGCTTTGAAACATATGAATATCTGTCCTTACCCAAAGAGAAGCAGAATTTTCTACAAAGGTTTTGCATTGGGTTCTCCCCTAAGAAAGGTTTAGGCTTCTAGCCTGGTCTACAAAAATGCTTAAGTATTAAAATCAGAAATAACTAGCTCCTTTATGAGTTAGTTATGCCACAATTTAAAGGACTTTGAGGACATAATTCAAATTCTTCTTATAAGTATTTACGTCATTTATAAAAAGGAGGTTGACATTTTTTAAACAAAAATTCCTTTCATTTAAAAGAAAAACATTCTGAACATTTTCACAAAAATTATGAACCATTTCCTAATTCTAGGTCCCAAATGCTAGATACGCTGCTACATTTACTGATGGAATAAGCACAGTACAGGGCAATAAGACAACCTGGACTAGATGATACACTGAGCCCAGGGCAAAGGTGGAAACAGAAACCAGAAATCCTGGCCTACCATGAACTGAATTTCATTTTCTATTAATAGAGGTTATAATTAATGTATTACATCACAGTTAATCACAGGTGTAGGTGTGGTCACATGCTATTCTGTAAGGGCCAAACTATGTTTCCCATTGACTTCAACAGGATCTGAATTTCTCCCCTTACTGCTCAATCATGCTGATTTCATTGTGATAACACATCCGGCTCTCATGGGACGGCAGAGGGAACAGGCTAAGATATTATCCAACAAAATGCTGGAATAGCCCAGTCTATAAAGAAGAGCTTGAGTTTTTCTTAGACTGCAAGGGCAGGCAATTATTTTGGGTGGAGGGCCATTTACTGAGTTTTGGCAAGCCATTGAGGGCCACATGACAAGCAGCTGGGGACAGATAAATATAAATTTTCAAAACTTTTTAGGGGCCCTGTGGGCCAAATACAATGGCCTGGAGGGCCACATCCGGCTCACGGGCCACATTTTGCCTACCCCTGTAAGAGCATTGCCTGGCACATGCAAACATCCATGCCATTTTCCTGGGGGAGTTCCTAAGCAGCCAAACATGTAACCATTATGCAAACCTTGCTGCTATGGCTACACCTTAGAGCCTTCTTGGAAACAGGTGGGTGAGCAAAGATTGCAAGAATAGGGCCATAATCCTGCATCCGAGCAAGATCGGTAAGTATGCAGGTGGATCTGTCAGATGAATGAATTTTTTGCAGCATAAATAGAAAAACAGAACTGTTCATCAGAGACCTGGTTCAATTGTCTGGCTTAACCACCTAAATATAAAATTATAGTTGCTGTTCTACATCAGCCATACAAAAAAAGAAGACCAGAGACCTCAGCCTCAGAGACCTGAACCTTTGAATTAGATGATGGGGCATTTGAACCAAGGTGGCAGAGAGTACAAAGCGCTGGTAAATGTGACTTTTCCTAGGTTTCTAAATGACTGCAGTGTTCGGGAATGCATTTGACCAGCCCCAGTTCTCTGGCGGTACTACCTGCAGAATTGCTTCAGTTTGACTTAGGCCTTGTCCATACACACATCTGCACCAGCTGAGTTGAACAGATTCCATAAAGCTCTCTATGGACACTTTTGTATCAATTTAAGAGTGGTTTACTTCACTTTAGCCTAAACTAGTTCCTAACCAACACCGACTAAACCGAAACAAACCTGGTTTAAGCCACAATAACAGTATACACATAACTTTCAGTACCAGTACAATGAGTCAGCTTTAAATTCCACCCTACGTTAAACGTCTGGACAACTCAGTCATTCAGAAGCCATTTTGAACCGGTGTCATTAACCTGGTACAAAGCACACTCTTATTACAGTTTAAACCAGGTTTATTTTGGTTTCCCTCACACTGATGAAAAGTGGCTGTGTCTACATGAGACACTTTTACTGTGCAGTAGCCTATTCTACTGCACAGTAAAGTGTCACTGTCCACAAGTCTAGGTGCTTACTTAGTCCACTGCTCAGTAAATTTAGTAAATTAGTCCACTGCGCAGTAAATTTACTGTGCAGTAAAACCAAATAGCATTAATTGCACATGTTGACACACCCAATAGGATTAAATAAAAAGGATATAAACCTATAAGACTAAAGAAGCAGCCACACAGGTTTATACCAGTTGAAAACATCCTGGAGAGGTTTATGTTGGTTAGTGAGTGGAGACTCCAAGGAGCCTTTTCCCATGTTTGTTGCTCCCTGCCTGGTCCACATAACTTAGGCAGGCACACAAGGACATTTATCCTAAATCAAGTGCCTATTTACCCCTTGATTAACAAAGTTTTACATTGTGATTCTGTTTAGGGTCCTATCCTGCATTTATGAATGGGAGCTATTCACTTATGCAAGCTTTCTGGGGCATTGAGCCAGCCAGCCACCTGCCTACCATACCTCACCACCCTGATATGTTAAGTCTTGCCTTACTTCTCATCTCAATTCATTGCAGTATGGCATGTCTTTCTTGAGACATCATGTAGAACACGTTCTTAATATGGTGTGTGATGCATTAGACATTTAATTAACAAATGGCTTATTAGTACATTGAAAGGAGAGAGGAACCCTATTATTATTGATGTCAAAAGTAAGAATGAGGGCAGGAATATGTTTCACTATGTGATGTATGCAATCCAAAATGCAAAACAAGAACATCAGAATGGGAGGTGTGTTTCCAATACACAAAGATGCATAAACTTGAGTGGTCTCTATAATTATGCCCCCTCCACTCTTTCTAAATGTTGCCCTAGGCTTCAGGATAAAGCCCAGCTTACATAATTATGATTACTTTTTTTTTTACTCCTCTTTTTTCCAGCTTCTTTAATTTTCACTATAAAGGGATGTTTCACTACAAAGGAAAAAAATATTGTTACAGCCCTGCACTTTTCAAGATGAATTTTCCTTTTTGTCTGGTTTTTGAAAATCTGGAAATTTGCTGAGATCTGTGTTTCCTTCAAAACCATCTGCTTCACTGAAGCTATTGGCTTTGGTAATATGAATTAAGGGAATAAAAAAAATAAGAATATAAATCCATCTTGGACAAAGAGTAGGAAAACCCCCTGACAGTGGAATCTCATGAATTGTAAAGGTTTATTGCCTCCAAATTGTAAAGGCTTATTGCCTCAATTGGGGGCCAAAGGAGGAAAGTAGATTAAATTATTCCATCATAAAAATATTTCATACGCTTTACCAAATACAAATAACACACCAGAAATAAAGCTCAATAAGAACACTTTGCCTTATACAGTGCACATCTTGAAAATACATTACAGACATTAGCTAATTAAAGCCAATGGAAGAGAAGGGAGACCTTCTGGGAGCTGGACCGGATGATCTTGCAAGGTCCCCTCCAGCCCTAATGTCTATGACCCTGTAATTTGAGATTAGAAGCAAGATATGATGACTATTATTAGTTTAATTTTGTGAGAGTGAGAACTGAACACGTTTGTGCTCAGTGGGTATGTCTACAAGTGCATTTAGGCCAATTTAAATTTACTGCACAGTAAATTACTGCGCAGTAAATTGGGGATGAACCAGCAGCTACACATGCAGGTGTTAAAGCACATTAACGCTGTGTGTGGACTGAGCTAGGACTAAAGTTAATCCAAAGTCAGCCCGCACACACAATGTTACTGAGCAGTAAAGCATCTGCATGTGTGTTACTGCACAGTAAGTAATCGGGGATAAATTTAATACCTGCATGATACTGTCAGCATAAGTGGCCATGTTTACTGCACAGTACAGTTGTATATGTGTAGACGCACGCTCATACTACACAGTAAGTTCAGTTACTGCGCAGTAAATGCGCACATGTAGATGCGCTCATTCACTGTTCCGTTGAAATCACTGTTTTTTCGGTGGATGTCACTTCAGCTACTGTGCTGGCATTTGGCAGACTGGTTATGGGACTGCAGAGACTTGGAGAGAAGCAGGATTCACAGGATCACACCTGGTAACTACATTTCCTTGTGACACAATCAAGCAGCCACCACATCAGAGAAGCTCTCGTGTTCGGCTGTCACATGGTCCCAAGGAAACCACCCTAAGTTTCGCAAATCTGGTTCTTCCACTGACTCAGTACTGGTTGCCAACATGCAAACCATTTCAACTCTTTACTGGCAGTTTCATCACATATGAAATAATCATGAAAGAACTTTTCTTACCAAAGTGCTCTGCATCAACAATGGATCAAAATAATCATTGTAATAAAAAATGAGTCAAAGATTTCATAGGTTCTGGATATACTAGACAGGCAGGGGTTCGGATGAACAAAGGGTTGGGGCAACATTGCTATGGGCTGCCTCATTTCCTAAACTATGGACTGGAACCATATAAAAAGATCTCATATCCCAGTGCTCCTCATTCACTCGTCTTCACTCCTTTGCATTTGTCCTTGCTGCTGAAGAGGGTAAGTGTGATTTCTATTGTTTGTATCTGCTATTTGAATGGAAGCTTTAATATAATCCTTTGCAAATCATAGTCTTAAATTTACTCCTGTCTCTGGACTGGGTTTTCCCTGTCCTCACCCTCTGTGTATGTGGTTGCCTCTTTATGCTAGCACCAAAATAACTTGTGGTGCACAGAAAGAATATCAGAAAAACAGGGGAAAAGGTGAAGGAAAGGAGCCTACAGAGGGACCAGGTCACAGAGCTGAATGAGTGTTGGTACCAGGTTAATGACACTGGTTCAAAATGGCTTCTGAAGGACTGAGTTGTCCAACCTTTTAATTTGGGCTGAAGTTTGCCAGAGAGGAAAGCATGCAGCATTTTTGAAGCAGCTTTCCTTTCTCATGAGCTAGTTGTATCTTGTTGCGGAAACCCACATCAGAGTGACACCATGGTTTGAAGTCACGTATTCTAGATGATTTCCCAGAAATGTTGGCACCAGTGTTTTGGGGATTCATGTTTCCACTAGCTTAAAAGTGAAGAAGAAGAAAGAACTTACCTTGAGTTCTGTAGAAATAGAAAAGGGAAGGGGGGAAGGTCCTTTCTGGTTCATTTAACACAGAGCATCTCTGCCTTGTTTCTTGCAGCTTTGCCCACACGACAGAAGATGTGCTCCCGCAGACCTTGCCACGAGCGTGAAACCTCCTGCCACGAATCACGACCCTCATGCCACAGTTCTGGGTCTCGCTGCCATGAGTCCAGACCTTCCTGCCACATCTCTGTGGTAGAGAGGCCAGCCTACTGTCAATGGCAACAATACCGTCCACCCTACTACCCAGACTATCAGCAGTGCTACAAGTACCCTCCGCAGTACCCCAAGATCCCACAATGCCCCCAGTACCCACAGTACCCACAGTATCCCCAGTTCCCACAGTACCCCAAGTAACAGCCAGAAGAACAACAAGGAGAG